AGCTTGTTTCTCTGATAACTTAATTTTATCAGAGTTAAAAAGCACCAAGATCTAAACAGTGGATGGTAAAATGTGGCTTGAGACTGGATAAACAGTCCACTGGAGGTTTACAGTCACTAGAAGCACATTCACAGTCTTTGTAGCTAAGTTAGCAGCTGTCTTGTAGCTGAGCTAGCAGCTCAGAGAGGCTAATTGTCCATTTTTGTGTGTGTGATCAAGGTAAAGATTGATGTCTGATACAGAATTGAAGGTTGTAGTTAAACTTGAATGTTCATTGTCTCATTTTTAATTAAAGTGAACACTGAAGAGTAAAGATGTGGACTTGTGTTGCTGCTGTGGCCATTGACTTTATATTTGAGTCTTGATTTCAACTCCCAATAAACAGCAGCTGGATCAACCTGCCAGGTGAGTCTGATCCAGCCAGGACGTTTTTTTCAGGATTTTTTCTGTACAGTACAGGACAGCACTCGCTCACAAACAGTCATATAATGTACTGACAGTATTGGCACGTTAATGCTCATTCTAACAGACAAGTTTTAAACTTAATACTGAGGAGGAGGCGAAAGGAAGTTTTCCAGGATATTTGGCCATTTTAATCAATTTTAAGGTGTTTCCATAACTGTAAAATACTCTCTAAATGTCCCTGTTTTCCAGCAAGAGAAACAATATGTAAACATACATTTTATTTCAGGTAGAACTTTCTTTGTCTCTTTTTCCTCACCTTACTCTCTCCCCTCGTTCACCTCTCGCCTTCTTCCTGCAGGCCGTCGTTGAGATTCAGTACGTTGTTGTGTTTTTCACTGATCCACAGAGACTGTCCCATTACTGGGACACACTTAGAGGACGGAGGGAGAGACGCAGTAGAAAAGGTAGAAATAAAGATAAATAAAGAGCAGGAGTTGGAGGGATGCTGCAGAGGAGGAGGAGGAGGAGGAGGAGGGGGAGGAGGAGAAACTATTAAATTTTAGGTCCTGTCGACAGCTGAAGTAGAGACACTTTGGCTCTAATAAGAGTTTGTGAGCTCGGTTCCTGACAGTGCCGATTCCTCAGGATGCTTTTCTGTCTGAAACAACCTTCACTGGAGTTGATGTCTGCTTCAATATCTGCATTGTTCAATAAGAGCTCATTCTGTACAGTTCACCTGCTGCACAGCTGAGACACAGGTGGGATCACCGCCTGGTTCTGTTTATTTTTTAATCAGTTTCCAGGAGTTTACACGAAAATCACCAAATATCCTGGAAAAAAATTAATTGTTTTTTAGCCCCTTGACTGTTTGTTGAATAACAAGGCTGAGGACAGGGTTCGAGTTACACTTGGAGCTTTGTAGGGGTCTCTAGAATAACTAACGTTGGGGCGGAGATTAATAATAACCTAACAAGTGTGCTTTGATACCAGAAAGGACAGAATTCTCTCTCTCATGCAGATGAATAAAGAGATTTGCTCTTCGTCTTGCAGACAAACCGACAGAGTCTGAATTCAGATGTTTTAATAATCAACATCATGATAGCATCATATTGATCTACTCGTTGACATTAAATCACAAACATCTGATTATCGGGGCGTCAAACCGCCGCAGTGAGACAGATTCAAGGATATTCAGGTAAATACGAACGTGAACCTGTATGAGCTCCAGTTTGAACTGAAGAGGAAGGAGCGGGGAGACGGCTGTCAGGCTGCATCTTCATCATGTGTTTAGCGATGATCAGCTCTGTTCTCTCTACTGATCCATAAAGCGTGCACTCACTGCTGACTGACGTCTCAAACACACTCATTTAAAATGAAAGGAAGTGAAAATGGAGTCTGCATGATGTCCTTCAGCCTCAGCGCAGCTCTTCATCAGTGCTTCAGGCTGCATTTCCTGAATGTCAGCAGCACAGTTTGAAGCTCCTTTCACCCCTCAGGAGGCCGCGTGGAAAATACCACGACTCAAACAACCTTGAGCAGCGTTTGGCAGCGTCGTCTCATTTCAGCTTAAATTATCAGCAGACTGATGAAAACCTCCGACTGCTGTCGTCACTGGACTCATCTGGGATTTAGGCCGATTGCAGGTGGACAAATGTGAAGGACAGTCGTATGAAGGTTTCAGACTTTTGACTTTCTGAATAAACCGACTGCTATCCGAGGCTGCAGCATCAGTTTTAGCATTTTGGAGACTTTAATGGTCATCAAAAATACTTAATCACAATCACATAGATCAATAATTGCTTGAAAAAAACAAATGAAGATATTTCAGCTCACAAACATTACTGTGGCCCATTAGTAAAGTGTTCGAAATCAATACATTGTTTTATTTCCAAGTCTTTAGACATTTTACAAGTGTGCATCTTTTTTCATTGAACCCATTGACCATTGAGTCTAAAATGGAGCTGCAGCTGGGGCAGCTGCCACCCCTCTAGATCTGCCCCTGCTCTTTCTGCCCCACTGCTCAGTTTCATTTCAATTCCAAAGATTTGTGTCGTCCACATGATGGAATATCAAAATCTGTGCATCCACTGTATTCATCAGAAACTGTATCACAGCTGTTTGTGATAGTATTTTTACAATGACATACTTACTCCACATATTTGCCAGAGGTGTCTAACAGACAGCGACACACAGACCGGCTCACAGAGAGAAACCTCCTCCTCCCACCATAACAAGATTGTCCTTTTAACTTCATTGTTGCAGAAGAAGGGACACTCTGCTTCACCGTGAACACAGAAATGAGGTCATCATAAAGATAGAGAGGAGCTGGATCACTTGTGCACCTGAACTGACTGATGTGTGTCCTGTCTCACTCACTCTGGGAGTGCCGGCATTCACACTCACACACATCTGTAAGCTGTTAACAGCTTTTAGCTTTCTAAAGCAGCAGGTTCAATATCTGCAGCAGTACAGTACAGTCCACTCCAGATGCACCAAACCCTCTCAACCATCCTGATCAGAAGCTGATCACAGCAGCTTTTAGAAAAACTGAGACGTCTTTTTTTCCTGAAATATGCAAAAATAGTCTTTTGTGTAATTTATTAAAAAATGGATGTCCAGTAGAAAGCTATCATTAACTTTGTACCACTAGCTAAAATCAAACACAAGTTAGCATCATGGACCACATTAGCTGAGGAAGCTCACATATGCACTCAGATAGGATTTGTTAGCGATAATGTTAGACCAGGAGTCTGGGTGAAGCTAATCTCTCCTTCTCTGCTGCTTGTATCATTTCATTTTCACCTCTTTCTGGATGTAAAACTGGTTTGTTGTATTATTGAATCGCTGTCTGACCTCAGTGAATCTTAATCAACTCAAGAACAAATCTGAAAGTGAAGGTGAAAGAGGAGAATCACATTGTGCTTCCTC